AAAAAAAAAGAAATCACCAAGACAGGAGTCTTGATACCTACATTTTGAATAGTCTAAGTATTCAAAATAATGGTAGATAATGAACTCTTTAGCATTTGATTTTCCACCCTGTGCAAACTGTGCTAAATTTGCCATGTTGAAGGTTTAAAACATGGGTATTTTGCGAAGCCCAGAGCATTTATACAATGCCTTTAGCCATATGCTCCATGGCACCTTATAAGGTAACTCCCAGATACCCTTAGTTTTAAATGAGCACAGAGAGCATGTAAATGCTAATATCCTGACCTGTGGTTGGCACAGCAAAGGTGCACACATCCTAATGAAGAATGATAGGCCATGCTGTCCACCTGGGAAGACACACTGGGCAGTAGCCTCAGGACTAAGTGACCTTTTCTGCATAATGCAACTTTGGGAGTGGAAGAGCCTGAGGCTTCCTGTAAGGAACACCTCTAATTTCAGGCCAGGATGGGTCTCCTATTATCTGAAAACGTGAGAACCTTACCATTTATTTTACAGCTCGCAACAGAGGTTTTTTTCCTTTTAAAAACATAAAATAACCCCAGATATTTTACTAATGTCTCCCAGTTCCCCTTACAGAATGAAAAATAAATTAACCTTTCACTCTTAGCTCCAATGCCTGCTTCTCAAACTTATTTGTAGATATACTGCAATATTTTAATATTTATTATTTCAAAATACATTTTTTCGAATAATCCAAAAGGTATATTCCAGCAGAACAAACTGGTGGTGCCAACAAATTTGAAGCTCAATAAATCATTCAGCAGTATAGTATTGACCACTGGCCAATATATACCATCAGACAAGAAGTTACCATTAGCCTGTGTGTCACAGTGGGCAGCTGGGCAGACAATCACAAAACACTTTTGAGGAGAAGCCTCACTGTAAGTTTTTCTAGAGTCATTCAAAGTGAAAATAAAACACCAAGGATATGTATTTGAAGGAAAAGAATATAGAAAAAAAGATTTTCATAGTGACAGATAAATCTGGTTTTTATTCTGCACACTTAGGTTTCATTTTATTGATTCAAGGTGTCCTCATCCTAATACGCCAAAAATTGGTATTTACCGATTTCTCCCCCACTTTGTGAGTCAAACAAGGAAAAAGCTTTCTAACTGTTCCTTCCAGCAGGTTAATGGGTACCTGTGTTCTGATTTCTTGCACAAGCTGCATTCTCTGACTCCATGTTAAGGTAGGTTATCAGCATGGAGGTGGCACAGTAGGAGTGACCTTTCACTAATCACTGCACCTCAAGCAACTACTGGCACAGCTCATTATGAAAAGGGATCCTTCAACGAGTGGCCTTTCATATGTAGGCAGACTTTGATTTTCTTGGGAACAAAGATTATTCTCTCACATAAAGGCTTCTGATGAACAATTCTGTCAACTGTGTACTAAAGTAAAAAAACACCTTGTTAATTTTCTCTCATTATCAAGAGACTACAAACTATATCAAACATAGGCCTCCAATCTTGGCTTTCCTTATGGAGGCCAGAATATTTTTACTGAGTGCCTATTAAAATTTTAGAGGAATGTCAATTATTGGCTGCCCTGGATATAGGAATCTAGTTGGTAATTCCCCAGTAATCAATCCCATTAAAAAAAACACATGACAAAAATGTATAGTATACAGGGATTCTCATGCAAAGGTAGGACAAATACCTTAGAGCAGCTGATTTCAATTTAAACACCTAAGACAGAAAGCTAATAGGCCTGGCAATTAATTACTCTTTACCCTCTTTCCCTGATTCTTTTCTTTGCCCTGTCAACCAAATAAAAATTCAGACAACACATAGTTGGAAAGAAAGACATGCTTCGTGACTTACCAGCCATTTGTTGAATGCCACTGAATGCACCCAGGTTGCTGGAGGAGGTGGCTTGCTGCAGAAGCTGCAAATGAATACACAAGTGGAAAGTCAGAACAGTGTGAAGATGAAAACAGAGTAACTTCTTCATTAAATTGAAGGCAAATTCCGTTCCCTTTACATTTACATAGTTGGCTGCCACAACCTATTGATGGACTGAAGGTCCCCAGAGTTGGGGTTGTAAATCCATATTATGTCTAATTTCTATTAAGAAACACAGACACTGGGGAAACTCACTAACACTGCTGCCTTAAAACAATTAATCAATTTACTCTTAACAACCAGGTGTTAAATCTATTGAAACCAACATAGTGTGACTAATTATATCTCTCTGCAGTCTAGTAGTTACCATAACTTGTCTCTGCCAATCAGGGTCCATTCCTTCTTCTCTTCAAAGCTCAGTTTTTTTCATTCTTTATCAGAAGTGCATAGATCCATTCTTAGGCCAACATAAAGATCATCACAATAATTACAGACATAAGTGCATCTATTTATAGGCATACTATTATAGCTTCAGCCACGAGACCAAGAGAATAGTCAGTCATTTTTAAGATGGTCTTCAATGGTAGAGAAAAATATACTATTTGTCAAAACTTGGAATTATCTGGTGCTATATATGTTGGAGCCTATGCATTATTAGTATTTCAACCTTTGAAAAAAGAAATATGCTTGTTAAATGCCTGTGAAAAAGCATACATTTCCCCCTACAGCTTTTAAAAACATACTTTTACTGCCACATAGAATCAGTGAGTGCTATAAGGTCAAGGCACCTGTTCAGAAGTGCTCCTGCCCTTGTTGAACTTTTAGGTTAAGTTTAATGCTAAACTAAGTATCTGACTAGATGTACAGACATTCTCTTTTTGGTAAGATAGATCAATACAGATATAGTTTGTATGTTGGGGAAGTATGTAGTTATCTCACATATTCCAATATACATGGATACCAAATGATGTAGCTTTATAAAATTACTGAAAAATTGTTACGACACCATGTGCTTATGAGGAACAAAGTGAATTAATTCACTACTGTAGAAACAGCTATCAGAACTTAGGTGGAGCCATGTGAAACAATGTAGAATAATGGTGTTCTGTGGGTCTCTTCAATTTAATAAGAAAAACTCAATAATTGGATATGAGTAAAAAATGAGCACGGATCAACTAATACAAAACCACCAACAAGAATGGTTGATTAAACGTGAATCTCAGGGACAATGATATTATAGGATGTGGTATTTACAAGGACTAAAATTTGAAAGATGTCTGTATGTTCATCTGTCCTCTTAACTTGTTAGAATGTAGTACACAGATATTCTGTGCATGCATATACATATGTGCTCTACCATACATACACAAAAAGAAGGAAACACCAAAGTGGAGGGTGTGGGAGAACCTGGGGATTATACATTTTAATAGAGAAATACCTTATTTTGATTGGTGGAGTTTCCCATTCTCTTATGTTTACCAGTCCCCTGTTTCTCACATTCTATGTTTTTAAAATTTAAAGTTGTACAATTAAATCAGCTTTGAAGATAATCTGAGGAATTGGTAACACCTGTTAAGTGGAACTAGCTGGAGTGTCATGAAATCATGACCAAGGATTACTTCCATGGATAACCAATCTTTTGTGAGGCAGGGTCAGAATCTATAGTTCAGAATAGAAGTAGGGAATGCCTTCAAGGCCGAGAGCTTTTTCAGAGAAAAGAAATTTAAATAAAAGGTTAGAACAGAGATGGCTAAGAACTAATATCCGTGACGGGAGAAAACACAGCACGAGCTTATAGAAACATTTTTATAAATAAGGCTGAGATTAATTCTCTTTCAAGTATGAAAGTAATTTGCAGATGTGGTCACAGAAACATGTGCCAGAGATTTCTGTGAGCTGTGGAGCACAGGAGATGTATCTGAATACTGAGAGCATGCACATGTGTTTTGGATCTCAGAAATGATAAAACAAGAAGCTGGACTAGGCTGGGTTTGGTGGTGCACACCTGTAATGCCAGCACTTGGAAGGCTGAATCAGGAGGATTGCCATGAGTTTGACACCAGCCTGGATTACATAGTGAGTTTAAGGCCAGTCTGAACTACATATAGAGACGTGGCCTCAAAAAAAAAAAAAGTCACAGTTGATACAGATTTTAGCAAGGCATCTGACAAAAATCACTTATAGAGTGTCTTTAAGGATAAGATAGAATAATGGCTAGAGATGACAATAAACGTGGTCAGTGCTTTTGTTAATAACTCAGATGAAGACAAGAAAATTATGTTTCACATAACCAATGGTGTACTGAATAGCTACTCCAGGCTAGGCCCTGCTGGGCACTGAAGGTGGGGAAGGATAGAAGAGGAAACGTGAGCTGGTTCTCAGAGTCCTTAAGAAACAACATGGCAAGGTGGCAAGAAAATACATGGCTGAAACTCCATCAGTCATCAGCAGCTGTATGTAAAGTTACTTGATCTCAGCCTCCCTTTTCTCATCTCATCTCATCTCATCTCATCTCATCTCATCTCATCTCATCTCCCTTATCTCCCTTTTCACAAGCAGGATAATCCCTTTTCAAGACAACAGGGAGGACATTTTATAAAACAGTATAATTTCTGCTACAAACTGAAGCTAGTGGATGATATAATCCTGAGAGGGATAGTTAAAATGTAAAATGACAGAATTAGGACACAATGCATGCATGTGCTCAAGTTTGCCCCTGCCACCAAGCTGGAATAAAAGGCCAAAACTCACAACATGAAATACTATGAATTTCAAGTCCAGTATTTAGGTTCTAAAGCAGAAAAGGGGGTAGAAAAGCATGTTTAGCTGTAGTTCTGTTAAAAATAGAGCATTCATTTTCACTACACATCAGACATGGTTACTACAAATGCTACTCTCTAGCTACAGTATGATGTTTTAAAATCCACACTAGGTGTCACTACTTTGTCCTTTTAGATCTTACAGGGCAATATTTTCCAATTTTGGCCACTGTGCTTCAGTAGATCTTACAGGGTAACTATCTCAAGTTCTGGCCACTGTATTTCAGTGAAGCTGACAAAGTGAAATGGGTAATACAAAGGAAACACAAGAATGTGAAGGCTTAAAAGCTTTAAAATGTAAGGGATGGTTCAGAGAATTGGGTCTGTTCGGCCTGAAATAGGACCTAATTTCTTTGATTTCAGATAAGTGAAGAATGAAATATTTTATTTCATCAACACAATTCCATTGAGAAGACCCAGGATCACAGAAAGTTCAGTACTGGAGGCCCCTGCAGTTAGGTTCTAGTTTCTTGCCCAGTGTACAACACAGGCCTGAGAAAAAAAAACAAACCTAAAAGACAACTAAGAGAGACAGAAAGTAGGGTGCCAGGGCAAACAATGCTGGAGCAACCGACAAAGTCCTTGCCAGTCCATGCCACTGATTTTTATTGGTAATCACTTGGGGTAAAGGTGAGCTACATGCAAGATATGCAGTTGTGTGGTTTCTATGAAAATTAATGTAAGCAAGGCTCATTAAGGGCAAGGCAAATTAGGAACAAAATCGACAAAATATATGGTTGTAATTAGAACACTGTCCTTCTAGTCAGAAGGTTTTAGTTGTGGAAACAGAATTTGGGTGTGAGTTACTTTGACCTCAGTGCATCAGCTTTGGCTGGACTCACTCCTATAAAAAGCCAATCATGGGGTTAACTCTTTACAGCCTGCTTTGGGCATAATCAATATTACGGTCCCTTGCAGTTCAGGAGATTTTTAGCTGAGACCCAGACAGGACACATACTGACCTGCCCCCCAGCAAGTTCTCGGCTAGCTCTCTCACTATCAGAAAATCAGCTCTCAAGCATGTGGCCTCTCTTCTAACACAGGGCTTTAGGATGTCTCAAAACACTGGTTTGAAGTTTAGCCTATGGAGCTTTGTTCATGTTGCTTTAGACAAGAATTAAATCTGTCATATTCTTAGGTTAATCACTTAACTTGCAAAAATATTCTGCTTATGAACTGATTTCATTAATTTGTGGGAGTCAAAATGTACAGAAAATGAGTTCTTTAGCATACATAGGGCAAAAGTAGCTTTCCAGAGTCCCAGGGGCACTATGCAGGATTTTTTCTAGCACTTACCGCCAGGTACTGTGGGGTAAGTCCACCCAGCCCCGTCAGGTTCCCCCAGGTGGCAGTGTTGAGCTGCTGCATCTGCTGTGCAAGCTGCTGTTGGAGGCGCCTTTGCTCTTTGTCCTTCTGAGTATCAGCAAACTTCACCACGATAGGTGAAGAGCAGCCCTGTGGTCAGACATATTGGAAAGCGAAGAGGAAGTTACAGCCTGGTTGAATCTTCTCATGACAGTCAGCGCTGGATCCCTTAACTATCTTGCAGCGCATGGAATGGTCTAGAATGATTTAAGAATGGTTTGATATTCCTTCTCAGAATAGTATCATCAACAGAAAACTCCAGATCTATCATTGGCTTGTTTGGGGTGGGGGTGGGCTGTCTGGTGCTTGGTCCAGCCATCTACTTCCTTACTCTGATTATCAAACTAGCTATCCTGCCGTCTTCATGGGTCTTTCTTCAACCTTCCAGGGTTCCTTTGAGACAGAAGACCTTATTTTTATTTAGGTCTCATGGCTGGCAAGTCTTAAAGACAGCCTTGTCTTTGTCAGAGGAGAATTTAGAATAACAATGTTATTCATTCATTCATTTTTTTTTTTTACTATTTCCAATTTTTAATTATGTAATTTGAACCTGGGAATTGTGGAAATCATACTAATCCAATAGTAATAGGGAGAAGTGGGTTTCATTTTAGGAATGTGGATGAAGGAAAGTGATAAAAAACATAGGCACTGATCAAAGTAATAGTTCATGTTTTCAGAAAGGTCTGTCTTCCTTCTATGGCACATCTACCCTATCCGAAATCCTTAGAACAACTGTAAACCAAAGGAACCAGAAGCATAGTCTAGTCAAAGGAGATACAGTATATCTTAAATGGCAGAAGGAGGATTCTACTCAGTTTCTTTCCCTAATGAATCTTACCATTCTAGCAGCTTCTTTCAGTTTTAATTTCCTTTAAGAGGCAAGGAGTAGGGGTAGTGAGAAAGAAAAAGCCAAAAGTCATACAATACGATGAATTCATCTTTGAGGTAGATACATTCTTTAGGAAAATAATAGATTAGTATCTCAAGCACAATCCTCTCCAAAGCACGTTTGAAACATCTTCCACTTGGTAATGTTCCTTCCCTAGTTTTTCTCCTTCCCAATGTGTCTTGCCTGTACATACCATCACCGTTCAAGCTATTTCATTTTGCTGAGGTAAAAAGAAGTAATTCTATCCAGTGATTAAATAAAAACTTATAATGATACTCAGCATGATAATAGTCCCCTCTTTTCTCCTCTCAGAAATGTTATATTCCTATTTAACCAGGCTATTTGCTTCCATTCCCTTTGGGTCATTTTTATTTCTCCTAGAAAACAAACTTGCATATTTTTATTTATTACCTTGAGTTGTTATTGGGGAGGTAGCTACAAATACATGCTGTCATCTTATCTTTCATTTTTTTAAAAAGTGAAGAAAGTGAGATGACTACTTCAATGTTGAATTTCTAGCCTATGACTCTTCAGCTCTGGTAGGCAGAGTCATGGTAGAGAATGTTAAATGTCAGTCAAGTGCATAAAAACAATGTTTCTACTATTAAAAAAACCCTGTAATTCATTTTTCTTTATATTTCAGTACTCCATTACTTTAAAAAGTAAAATACTTTGAAGACAGAAATTATGTAGAGAAGGGTTTGTCATGAAAGAGTTGTTATTGTTACATCAAAAGTATTACATAACAAATGATAGCATCTCCTCCTAATAGTACATTTGTTATTCTTTTCTTCCTTAAATACTAAAAAAAAGGTATAAAAGCAGAAAGTTGACCAATGATTATGGCTTTAAAAATGACTTGTTTAAATCATGAAAGAGAAAATGTGTGGGAATAAAGTGGAGAAAAGTGGAGAAACAGAAGTTTCCCTATAAAACTGAAGACTTTATTCTTTTACTATTTAAATCATTTTAAATTGGAGAATAGAGTTTGGTTGAAGATCCTAGAGTCTTGAAAATAACAGGATTAGTTTAAAAGACCAAGCAAACAACTTCAATTGTACAATTATAATGTAACTGCATCATTCTATTTAAATGTCAGTTTTTTGATTAAAGTGTCTGAGGGCTCCTTTGTTTAAGTATGGATGTCCAGTTTTAAAAACAAGTATACCAAATTTGATTTTCTTATACTAGAGATACTAATAAAGGATCAATGATTTCTTAAAAATAAATATACCCCAACCCCCAGAACAGATCTATTATGAAAGCCTTATGTTTCTTGGTTTTGGTTCATGCCCGGTTCTGCCTTATGATCTCAAGTCTTCTGTGGGAACGCAGGAAAATCAGATTCCATCAGCATTCTTGGAGGCCTCACTGGGGGTGCTCTGAGTGAAGGGATGTTTCTAATAGTTGAAAGAATTTAGGTTAAAAAATTACCTAAGGAGAGACCAATTTGGGTATAAAGCCCTCAATTACAGGAAATAAAAGAAATTAAGAGTAAAAGCATATATGGAAGACAAATACAGATACTCCCCCCCAACAGTTCTTAGATTTTAATTTCCTCTGAAGAATAGCTGGAAACCCACAAAAATGGAGCAGCCTAAGAAAAAGGGGAAATCAAAACATTATCACATACGATTGCATGTTGTAAAAGACTGCGTTCCTAGATATTTCAAATCCTGCTAATTATTTCCTATTATGGCCGATTTTCACCTGAGCTTGCCTTCAGGTGGGGAGTGGGGGGGGGTGAGAGTGTCTTAAAAATGCATTGCACTGAAAGGAAAACACATCAATTATATAAGATATGTTAGGAATATCAAAGTCAAAATGAATATTCAAAAAAGACAGTAACCTTTGCAATGCTGATATCACAACTCAGAAAAGTACAGTGAACACTTACTGACAATGCCATGCACACGCCTTCCCCCCTTTCCACCCACCTTTTGATTCATTATAAAAAAGTTGCCCAGAAAACATGACGCATAATGATCACTTAGCTCCCTGCATGCTTTGGGAGAGGCAGCATTGCAAAAAAAAACCAAAAACAAACAAACAAAAAAAAGAAAACCTCCAAAAATGGGGGCAAAAAAGCAGCTCAAACAATAACTTTTTGCATGTTAAATAAAGCTGAAAATATCTTTTGTTTTTCAAAATATGAAAACACAGCTTCAGATAACACCACAAGGCCACCACCTCCAGAGAAGATCACCCATACACAAAGATACAATGTACGGAATACAGCAGAACATGCACTCCCAGATGATTCTGTCGGACAGTACAGAATAAATAACAGCATATCACTCTTGGAATGCTTTTGTGCAAAATTCTGAAAGGCCATGACCCAAATCACAGACTAAAAGTAGAGAGCCATCTACCTATACTTGTAGGTATACATTCACACCAGTGTACTGCTCTTTGCCTAAATTACTATCTCTCATTAGGAGACCAAATTTGAGCCTTTATGTTTCTTTGCTATTGCTCATTTGTACGTAAGGTGACAAATCTACTTTTTCAGGAGACTCTCATAAAGTAGCATTTAACTGTTAAGTGGGAGAAGTATTAACTTTCCCCAACATTTCTGAGATGCAAAAAACAGTTCTGTTTGATTACATTAACCATAAATTTACCCTGTATTTTTTTTAAAGAACCATGTGACTTATTACAGGGCAAGCAATTCGGGGTGGGGCCTGTTATTGATTAATCCATACCAACCCTACAGTGGGGAATGTATTTAATCTTTGAGGTCCAGAATGATACTTTGCTTAAAGTATCTTATGATTTTATAACGTAGGACCTGTGCTACTCCAATAAAAGGCTCAAAAGATAGTTGCAGAGCAAGTGGAAGGTTTTACTAAATGCATTTCAAGTCATTAGGGGAAAATGCAGAGAAAGAGGTGGGAAGGGGAAGGGAGGAAGAGAGAGGAGAGAGACAGAGAGAAGATGAATATGAATGAATGAATGAAAAGTGAGATATTCAGAGTTTAAATCTGTGATTGTCATGTGAACAATCCACACAGGAGAGAATTGCTTTACCATTCCCCATCATTTGCACAAAGAAAACAAAGAAAGGGCAGATGATACAGTACCTCCATGGTCTGAGACTGATGCATGGCTTTGATTGCATTCTGTGCCATTGCCCTTGTAGAAAATGTGACAAACGCACAGCCTGTGGGAAACAAGGGGACAGGGAGCAGGAAAGACAAAAAACAACAAGACAAAAGGGTTGGACGCTTGTTAAACCAACACAGTCTACGAGAACTGCCACAAGACGACACTGTTCTCAGTAGTACATAAAAATAAACAACTTCTCTCTTTGGTTTTATCTTATTTTGCTTTTTATTCAGTGCTGACTTGCTAATCTGACCAAAGCAGAAAGATTTATTAGTTTATTTTTAAAGTGGAAACTAGGGGAAGAAGCTGGATACCTTTTAGCCACAGGGTTTGAAACTAGCAAGATCTAGTTTGCATTTTCTAAAATAAAAAGTTGCTTTTCCCATTTTCTCCTACGCTGACAATCTTTATACTGAGGGCATCCACACATCAGGGCTTTGTATTTCACATTTTACTGTTGATTTTTAAGGAGTAAATAAGAAAGTCTTCAAACTAATGGCAAATTAACAGCTTTCAGGAGTTCAAAATGCCAGCAAATAAGTATATATAATTCCTTTAGGGTAGTTAAAAAAATCTATATGTTTAAATTTAAAATGCTATTCAAATGTAAACAAATATACCAAATCTATTACAAACTATTATTAATAAAAACTAATGCTTTATTACTCTGAGAATATTCAACAACACATATAAAATAAAACTTAAAAATTTGCATTGGATTTGTTTGTATACAAATCTTCATGACTTTTCATAATTGTGACTTTCTGAAATGTATGAGGTACTTGATCTAAAGTACAACATACATAAGACAATGTACATTTTTCTGAATGTCTATTGTGAGACTTGAAAGCTTTCAATGTTTATTTTTTTGTGTGCTATAAAATAACTAGTATCTGTAGTGCCAGTTTTTGCTTCTTGTAGCAGCACTGGCCACCGTGCAGGTCACGGCTCCAACTACACGACTCATTGCCCTTTGCACTAATAAAAACACTGCCTTCAGAAATTTACATTTTATTCATCATGCATCCTTGGGCTTCTTAGAGAAAAAGACTATGAAATTAATGCAGATTCAGGCTGATTTTATAATAATACCATAGCACACTAAAAGCTTAGCTACAGCAATACAAACTTATTTCACTTATGATCTCTAATGACTTTAAAAGTGCATTGATTTTCAGCTTCTTTAGCCTTGCACAGTTTGAACTTAGGTATCAGAGAATAATTTAGTGTTCCACTCAATTTCCTCAAAACATTATTATTATTACTACTTAAAAGATTTCCAAATGAAGCAGATCTAAACACTGAGAGGCAGAAGCCTATTGTCATTTCAGAGTGAATGCATGAAAGCAGAATTCTGGCATCAACAATATGAGATTGTTGCCCCTGTGGCCAATAAGCAAAATAGAATATTCTACATTCAAACCACCAGCAGATTGTTTGGTTTATGTCAATCAATTTGTGAGCCATAAAATATATTTTCTTCTTTTGCTCTGCATGTGTACCTGGTGAGATTATCAAGTCAATACTGTACTAGCACCTTTTAATCAAACAACAATAGGAGAAAGCAGTGCCTACCCACTACCCCCAACGCACAGTGACATCCAGTCATGAAAATAAGTCAATGCATTTTTTTCTTTTCCATCGTGTTGTAATTTTTGATACATAAAACTTTCTGTACATGGGAAATTTATGTCACATTCACTTCCTGGTTAAGCTGGCCTTAAGAAGCCTGAATGAAATCTAGCTTGCCATGAATGCTGAACCGTAACATATACAGCCACCGGAGGATGGCTGATGAGGTTTACTATTTGAACACTGTGCCTGTACCTAGACTGATTGTAGCTTTTGTCATCAATAAAAGCAATTTAGTGACTTTCTCTAAGGCATCTTCACAATGTGTGTAATAGAGTGTGAGACAGATGACAGTACCTCTACTGGCTTCCACGCTGATGGTGAGGTCTTAAATGATAGAGTCTCAAATTTACCATCTGTTTTAAAGTAATATCTTTTCAGAAACGTTACAATCATTGAGAACATTATACAGAAGAAAAAACAGTAAATGATTTTATTTTTCTATTTCTTGCATTTAGACTTCATGGAAGCAAAAGCAAACCATCTAATGAGGATATATCTGAAACCATGTGAAGCCTGAACTAATTCTGCTTTCAATAGTCAAGAAGGTTGTTACATTCACTTCATTTGATCCTATTATCCAGGAACATGTGCCAAACTGACAGTTTCCAAGTGGAGGTTAAAATGCATTAAAAATATGTAAAATATCAATAAGAATCAATAAGGCACAGTTTATGCATTTACCACAATTTCATATAAACAGAACTTTTCTAAGTAACTTAGAAAGATAAAGCAATTAGCAGGTCTCAAAAGAAAAGTACTAGGAAAAGAACAATAAAATTAAGTCTCTATAAATTCAAACTGCTGCCTTTTCCTCTATGAAACCTGCAATTAAAAACTCATCTGATGGTTCTAATTATACAATCTTCCCCATCCAAAAAAATGATCTGACAAATTTGATGATTCCTTTAACCTTTTTATTCTATTGGCAATGGTGCAGTAGGAGACAAGCTGTCTCCTTAGGGGCTTCTGTCAAGTTCTGTACTGTGTGCTGTGTTCAGTTACTTAAGAGAAAAGAATTACTGAGTCATTTATAAAGTGGGAGTACATGTCAAAAACTTTCACTTTCTATGCCACTCCGCATGAAGTTAAGCTCTAGAACTAAATGTTTCTTGGAGTAGTAGCTTGTTAACCTTTGTAATTTCTCTAAAACAGGAGATTGTGGCAGTCTTCTGGATTGATTTTAATTTTTAATACCAGTGCAAACACAGTGGTGGCTTCAGGATTAGACCTCTGATCTGTGCTTTTTACTAACATAGATGCACAGGAGTGTCTATCATTGAAACTGGTGGCTGACTTTTTCTTATAAGCCAGCTAGAAGGCTTTCTATTGGACAGAAATAACTTAGGTCATAATTGGTCCTTTCTTTTACTAAAAACAAGCTTTTTCATGCAGTTGAGTTCATTGGGTCTTGACAGAACACAGCTCTGATCTTGTAGTGTGTCAGCCCTTAACTACTGCAGACTGTTGAATGTGCTTTCTCAGCAATCTGTTCTCTGACAACTGACCATAATGCTGTAGAAATTAGACTGGGGTATGGGAGGGATAAAAGCATTAAAATAATGAAGCTGCATTTCTTTCTTTGGTTTAGGTATGATAGCAGATATATGTATATTTTTGTCTAAGACCCCCCCCCCCAATACATAATAGCAAAAGACAACTAAGAAAGAAAGAGGGCCATCTGTAAATGTGGTCAACCTGTAATTTACCTTGCAATTAATTATTATCTCTACGTTTAGATGTCAGAAATTACTAACTGAAATAAAAGGAGTTGAGTCCCTCTTACTCTAGTGAGGTTGCCTTCTTGCTGCTAAAACAGATGGAGGATTGACTGGGGAAAGGTTTTGCAAAGTAATTTCCTCCCACAGACAGGATCTAAGGTAGGCACGAAGCCCTGTCACAGAGATTTTTGGAACACATCTATTACACTTGTCATTTCAATTGAAAGGGTATCTTAACTTAGTTGTTCTACCTTTTCTCTCAGCTGCAAGGGAATTTTACAGAAGTAGATGAATTCTTGCTTCACCTCAAAAGGGGGAAAAATATAGGTACTTCTAAAAGCCTGAACAATGCCACAGCCTCTTGCTTTTCTGCTACTTCTAAGAAAGAGGTACAGCAGCCCGCTATATTTCAACTGAAAGAAGCATAATTTAAAATAACTTGTGCAAGTGAAGGGGACTTAAACCTATGGAACACTTGTTTATAAATTCCTATCAGCCTTTTAGTAGTGCCAGACTGATCAGATAGATGGTACCAGTATAATACCAAAATTAGTCTTCTAAAGCACCATTCTCAATGCTGGGTAGTTTATTTAATGTTGGCATGGAGACAGCGTTCATTTTCTGGTACCTGATGCTGAGTGCAGACTAGGACCTGTGTAACAGTTGGCAAAACCTCATCACTAATGAGATTGGGAGACTGTATTTAGAAAAGATGGCAAAATGCAGTTAGTAATGCATGTGATAAAACATTTCTACATATCTGAATGTTCAGGTATGAAAGCAGGGCTAAAAAGTTATCAAAATTGAGTCTTCTCCATATACAGCAAAAACAAACGAGTATTTAATGGCTAAATCCAGTCTGTGCTCACCAGCATCACTGAAAATATTACCAATTCATTTGTCAAGGGTTTTGGCAGGAGAATGTTGAACATCATAAACACAGCTGGAATATTCTTAAACAAGCAGAAAGTTACCTTAAATGGTGGTGAAGATTTGACTACATTTTGTGGGAAAGAAAAATGAAGTAAACTTCTTCATTGTTTCCAAGTTACAGATACTCAATTGCCATGGTGCAGAAAACCCTGTGGGTTGTACCTAAACAGTCCATTCTAACCTGTAGGATTATGGGTAAGTGAGAACACGTATATTTTAGGAAATCAACATGCTAAGGTGACATTGTCAAATAAATATATTTGGTTTAGAAACCTCAAGCTTTGCTTCTGGCAGTAAACATCTTGTTTGAATTGCCATAGGTGGACCCAGGGTGTCCTGCTTGTTTACTCAATGAAGGTTCATGGAGGGGTCTCCAGAGGTAGAGTTATCATTGCAGAAGGGCCTGAGTATCATAAACTGTCTAAAGCATCACAAACCATGTTTTCAAAATTAGTAAAGATACTGGAAAGGGTTACCGTCTCCAAAGGGTAAATGCATACTTGGATGTAGGCATACTGGCCAAAGTGAGGAAGAGACCTCATTATTTGCTGAGTAGCTTCATGTGCTTGGCAGGTATAAGGTGTTGTCCAGGTAGAGTCATGTCAACTTCCATGTGTCTTTCCTGAAACATTGGCTGTTCTGGTGAGACTTTTAAAATATTCCATCTGGCCAATATGCAGACTATAATTTTTACTTTTTAAAGACAGTGGCTCTAACTTAATTTATGTATGTATTTTCTAAACAGCTGAGCCAGCAGCAGACACCCAGAAATGCTGAGTGCCCTTTATCTGCAGCATCATTAATATTTGATTGAAAACAGTAATTCTTTAATGAAAGCAGAATAGTAGCATGAAAGAGAACTGTTTTATTAACAAATGCACTGATTCAGGAGCAGGCCCTGGTAGCCAGGAGTTCCTGGGTCCTGCTAATTGGAAAACATACCACTATCTCTCTTTATATTCAGAATAAATAGCTATAAATGAACATTTTCTTTTTTCCAATAGGGACTTCTCATCAGTTCACAAGGAATTACTTTTCCATTAAAAAAAGGAGAGGGGTATTCTCCTCCTTACATTGAACCATTATTTGCATAAAATATTGACGAGAGGGCTCCCATAACTTGTTTCAGAAACTGGCTGCTTCTGGTGTCAAGTGCTGGTTAATCAACCAAATGGCAGATCAAATTAGCTACAGTTCTCTTGTTAAGTACCGTGAGTCCCACTCTTTCCCATGAAAGTTGTGGCTGCTTTAAAATCTTATGTGCAGAAACAACTAATGCATGCACAGGGAGCTCGAAGTGCAGGGCAATGTTGCTACTAACTCCTGTCTCCCCAGGCAGACAGACAGTGAGATGAAGAGTCATTCCATAAATGGGGCAGACCAGCCTGAGGGAGAGCAGGAATCTGGTACTCACACTTTGCATTCAAGGTCTCTACTAACCTATGCAGATGGTAAAGTTAGACAAAAAGCTACCGTACTAGTCATTAATAACTCCCTGTGGTAAAAACAGGGCAGATATTTTTACTGCTGTCATTTAAAATGGGTAAACTAAGGGAGAGAGATAGGAAGATGAATTGAGGTCATATACCATGTTAGAATTGGCATCTGGGGGTTCCTGACCTCTAAGCCACTATAGATTTCACCCTGCTTAATTTAAGGGTCTTCCTTTTGGTCCATTCTCCATGCTCTATACCTTAGGGAATGAAAAATACAATGATAACACTGAAGTGGGCCTGAGAATAACAGAAGCCAACAGGGATCTAGTTAAACTGGAAGCAGAAAGGGGATTACAAGAATGCTGTCATGTTTTTCCTACGTATTTTGTTCTTCTAGCCTCACTGCCTTTTCCATGGTATTTTGGTCTCCTGGTGTGTCTGCCTCAGTGGATGTATGAAAATAATTAGACATATGAAATGACTGCAGTAGAACTGGATGGTCAAGTGTGATTAGGAGGTCTGCTGGTTGAACTGGCTATGATGGTGCTCCTGCTATCCTTTTGCTTGGAGGTTATGCTTGGAGGTTATCATCACCATGATGGACTATTTGGGGGGACAGTAATGCAGGACAGGTGATAAGCTACAGCTGAGGCTCAGGTAATGGAGCTGTTTTTCAGGGGATCACACTCAATAGCTTGTTCAGCTTTTAGAGAATCACATCTTTGAAGTGGGATGAAATAAAAAGGATTTCAGAAGTTGTTAGAGAATGCATAAACTGATTTCCATGTTGCCCTCCTTTTTCTCCCCCGCCTTCAGAAGAAAATACAGGAATCAAAAGTAGGGTGCTTGTTCCACCTCCTCCTGACTTTCCTCTAGACTTTGAGGCTCTGGAGGTGGATGTAGGTGTAACATTTGTTCTCTGGGCCTTTAATTCTAGAAGCTGACATCCTGAAGCTTTATGTCTAAAAATCAAAACAACAAATGTTCTTCCTCACACGATGCTGAAATTAGGTAAAAGTAATGTGACAGATGAAAATAGGAGCCTGATTACTTATGGCCTGACTCCCTCGGTGTGTGGCCTGGGTGACAGGGCTGGCCTAGGCTCAGAGTGTAAGAATGAAAAAAATTCCTAATTAGCCTGATGGAAATTTCACTGGTCACTGCACTAATAATAGAGCAAGCCTCTCTCTGTTGCGAAAACATGGATTTCTAGTGTACACTTTCACTTTGGACTGCCTCTGGAAACTGCAGCCAGATAACTGTACCTCTCAGGGTTCATCTTCCTGAGTGGTGAAGGAAAGAGATGTGCTAACTTGTTAAGGGGAAGAAAAATGGAAGAGAAAGGTGATCTCCCACTATTCTGCATACCTACTTATAAAAATACTCATCACAGCTCTGAGCCACAGCTTTTGCTTCTATCATGGTGGCAAGGATGAGCCTACAGTCTTTTTCAGGACAAAGTCACTTAAAAAGGACTTCCTGACCTGGAGACTCCAGAAGCTTCACTCTTTGAAACAAAACTCTAAGACTTTGGAAAGGCCCAGGCATCCTGAGCCTGCATCTGCCCAGCACTGTGCATGAGCAGCAAGTTTCTTGGCTTGCATTGCTTGTTGGGAGAACCATACCCTCAATGATGATCTCAGGCACAGGCACAAAGTCAGGGGACTAAGGGGAAACAGAAAATATCAACTCTCATTGTCCTCATCTCTTGCTCGCCCCCCAAATCTGCTTTGAGGTTGAAAAAGGATATGTAGCAATAGGGCAGCCTGTCCACCTCCTATGTGACAGTGATAACCTGTGCTAACATGTTGGCACTCAGATTGTCTCAACCTGACAAATAAAAGGTGGAAATTGCAGCTAAGGTGGAAAGTTCACAATGGATAACTTTACTACATGGGACCCTTTTCAGGGCAATCTCCTGCTGTATGTGGTGCCTGCATTTACCTTGACTGTGACACGGAGTTCTAATTAGCACTCCAGGAAAGAGACTCTATACACAGCACACTCACCTCGACTTAGCCCATCAGGTCCCCGGAGAATCCGGCATTCTTCTATCTGGCCAAATGGAGAAAACATCACTCTGATATCATTCTCATTACATTTCTTCGAAACCATTCCTATGAACAATTTTCTGTCTTCCACAGCTAGGAGGTAAAAATAATGAATGAGAAAAAGGCATTTCATCTTTTTTCTTGTAATCAATGCTTTATTCCTGTATCAAACCAGCCCCTACTATGTGAATATGAATGATCTTGTCTACCTTCTTCCTCCCACTTGCCCCATCCTGCATCTCCCTCTTCCCTATCCTTCCTGAACACTTCATCTCTCTTCAAGCCACTTCTTACTAATATGATGAATTAATAGGACACAGAACATTGTGAAATGCTTTTTCCCATCCAGAAATTAACAGTAGGTGTTATTAAGATTATAAAATACTTATGTAATCACCAAACACTGCACAAAGACATTTTTGAATACATATTTTAATTTGGGCTTTTTGTAGATATTCTTTTAACTTTAGTGACAAGGAAAGAGAAAGACAAGGAAAGAGAAAGATAAGGAAAGAGAAAGATCAAGAGAGAAAATGGCATAGGAGCAGATGTAGTAAAACAGTAAATGCATCTTTGAACAAAGGATCCAAGGGAAGAAAACATTTTTCCCCAATTTGAGTAGCTTAGTTCCCACTGATCTAGAGAAGAATAGGAGATCAGAGTCCCATTTCTTTGGAGAGCTAGTATAGTCCTCCCTCCAGAGGCAGTGGCTGTGAGGTGCTAACTAGGTTCCTAAATAGGTCCCTAGTAGGTTCTGCACCTGGTTTTAACCAGCCAGGCTGGTTACAGCTGAAGGAGAAGCCAATGTTAATCAGAGAAGCTGGCTGGTGCTACTTGAGAATCACCTCCAATGGCTGCAGGCTTTTCTTGAGAAAATAAGAGCAGGAGGGAGTGATACTATTCCAACAACTTGAAGGTAGGATCCTTGAGAGAGAGATACCTTTTGAGTATTAAAACAGGACTTGCAAATTGAAATCTGATAAAGGGAAAGATAAGGCAAGTTTTACTTTTGATGACCTGTGAGATTTTCCTCAAAATCTCCATGCTTAGAATACATGACCTACATTTAGCCTGAACAAGGCAAGGTTATAAATGATTTCAGGACAGTGCTTCAATATTTTTTTTTTTTTTT